AAACTCTGATTCCGAGACAGCTTTCTCGATTTCCGAGGCTTCCCCGATTCCGAGACGCTTCAAACCGAATCGCAGCTGCCGCGCTTGGAAGTGGCGTCGCGCGTCTCGGTTTCTGGCCGAGTCGGCCGGCTCCCGAGGCGGGAGGGCGATTTCGACTCTCGGCGCTCGTGTTCGGGAGCCGCTCGTCTGTTTCCGACGCTGAGTGTCGTGAAAGAGCCGTTGGGCCGCTCTGACCTCACAGCAACAGCAAACGTCGTGACGAGGTGTTGACAATGGTTGTGTCCGGATTCTCGGCCAAGCTCGTCCGTCGACCGTCGACCGGCTTGGTCTGCGGCCGTTGCGAGCCGCACCAAGCCGCTCCCCGACGTTTGCACCACCACATTCACATTCGCTTCGTCGTCCTGGCTAGAGTTCTGACCTGTTATAACCTGCATCGTCGCCGTGGTAGTTCGCCGTGTTAGAAAGACTGTTGAATATTTGTGATTTGGGAAAAATAATATCATACATTTAGCATGGCTGGAAACCAGGAGCATTGTAAGTTGAGCGTCGAACTTATATGAAGTTTGAGTGACACGCAAAATCAAAAACTTTCTTATTTTTGTCGCACATCTGCGAGAGATGTCGTTACTTTACGTCGCCTTGATTTTCGCACATTTTGTAACTGATTTCGATTGACACTCAATATCATCTTTTTAAAATAATTTGTTGTGTTTCATTCATGATAGAGATTTCTTCATTTTAGGGACTGATGATGAATTGAAGTTGTTGGTTCGGGTTCGGATCAAGCATGACAGTTTATTCTGCGGATCTAATGGCAACATTGCAAAGGGCTGGAAGTAAGTTTTAATAGATCCTTTCATTCTTTCATTTCTTTTTGACATTTTCTGTTTTTGCACCGTCCTATGACATTTGTATTATTTCAGAACTGTGATACAGGAGTTGGCAAGCCTCGGACTTACCAGAGAACATGATAGGAAAATCAAAAGAAAGTTTTTAGATGAGTCGAAGAAGTTCAAGGTACTATTTGATGCTCAAAGTTCTAATAACTTAAACTTTGCTTGGATTGTCCATTTTTATTTTGAAGGAAGATTTACACGATCTTTGACTGAACAATGATTACTTGCAGGATTTCATGAATCCCTCGCTACACACTGGCAGGAGCACTGAGGATGGTGAATCTATCTCGGAACTTGACCCTGAGCTCTTTGAGCTTTTCGCGAACTACTTTGAGGGGAAACATACCCTCAATCCTCCTGCATTATATGATTCTTCCATGCCCTCAACTTCCAAAGACCGAGATCACAGCTACGCCACAAGCGAATCTGAATACCTAGGTCCAGTGCCAAGTGAGTATGTCGAAGTGGGCGAAGATGGCATAAACAATGAAAATGATGATGAGGATGATGAAACTAAAGTGACAGTGACAGCCCACAATAGCAAGAGGTGTAAAGATTTTTATCAGAAAAATAATAAGAAGCAAAAGGGAGAAAAGAAAAAAAATGATGAAGACTGGTTTAAAGAGTACTTAGTCCAGAGTAGAGAAGATAGAAAAGAAGAAATGAATCAACTCTTGGGTGCTCTAAAAAATCTTGCACCACCAAAGTAGTTTGTATACTTTTGTCTTCTGGACTGCTAACTTACTTGTTTTTTTGTTTTTGTTTTGTATTTTTTTACGCTTTTGTCTCCTTGACTGACTGATGTGTCTTGGTATGTTTTTGTTGTTTTCTGGTTGTGTTTTACTGCTGATACGTGAAACATGCATTGTAAGATTTTTGTTTGATTTTTGGCAAAAGGCCTACTTGTGCAGCTTATGCTTCTACATTGCTCCCTAAAAGTATTTTTTTAAGTTGTTTAATTTTTTTATTACTGGTTCTTTTAAACTGCTTTATGTTTCTAAATGAAATGTTACTCTCAAAGCAGTTTAGAAATCCATGTTCATGTGATGATTTATATTTTAGTTTCATTATTTGACTGATATATTATTTGATATATATTCATATCATATCTTGCTTCTATATCTTGTGCAAGAATTGTGCTTTATTTTTTATGTGATATTAGACTTACAGATTTTGTTTAGTTAAATTGTTTCCTGAGCAATATATGATCACTTGTTTGTGTATTTTGTCTACAAGACTAAGTGTTATTAGGCATTTATTGGAGATAAAAATATAATGAAGTGTAAAGAAAAGAAGTGTATTTTTTTTTTCATCAACTAGTCCTCGACTAAAGTTGTTCTGAAATCACACTCTGTCATGCTGTAAATCTTATCAATAGAATATTTCTAAAGTGAAAAAGTAAAATAACTTCTAAAATAAGGAGAGTAATCACAAACATTTAACAGCACAAACCACTCTACATGCAGCCATGCTGTAAGTATTAATCTATTGTCTTTCCAGGTCTGCCTGGACTCTCCCAAGATTATGAGCTAAGCAAATGATCTCTCTATATGCTGATCCATCACTCTCTGGTCTTGGAGCTACTTGTCTTCTTCGGATTATCCTGTGGTGGGGTATTATATCATCCTCATCTATACAGATGTTGTGCACGACACAGCACGCAGCAATCACCTTGACAGCTTTTCTAAACTTTACCTCTAATGCTCTGTGGAAGAGGATCCTCCATCTAGCTTGTAGTAATCCAAAGGACCTCTCCACAACAGAGCGAGCCTTGCTGAGGTGATAGTTGAAGTTTTTCTTTTCCTCAGTCAGATTTATATTACGGTATGGAGTGATGATTGTTATAGGGTCCCTAAGACACATATATCCCCCATCCCCAATGATAAAATATCCCCTGGGTGGGTATACTGCATCTCTGTAAAGGCCACTATGTCTTAACACTCTTAAATCGTGGCAGCTACCTGGGAAACCCACAAAGATGTTGATGAAACGGCCACGGTGATCCACAAGCCCTTGTAAATTGATGGAGTAGTATAGTTTCCTATTGATGTATTCTTGACTTTTCTCTGTATCGTCAAGAATAAAGTACACCTGGCATCCATCAATAGCTCCAACACATTGGGAAAAGGCTGGTGAATCAGCCATGGTAGCAAATTGTTGACCGACTTCTTCCAGATTTTCAGGTAACTTGATAACTCGGTTTGCCACACTTACTATTTTATCAAGTACCAGGTCAACAATATCGAAAGCAGTGCTTCTGCAGACATCAAATGTGTTGCCACAAATTCTGTAAGACATACCAGCTGCCATCCAATACAAGGTGACTATCACCTGTGGTTCAAAGCAGAAGAGCGGGGTAAATAACACATTAGGTGCAAGGGAAAGAGAGCAATTGCTAACTTAAGGTAGAGACATTTTTCAGAACAATTACTAAACTACGGTATGTCCGATATTAATCGTTCATACTGTGGAAAATGTTTATTAAATTTACTAACTTATATCTAAAGGAGTACAGAAAATTTACAAGTTATAACTGTAACTCTGAAAATAACGTCTATGGATCCATGAAAATTCCAGCAAATTTTTAGCAGCGCCTAGAATGTTTCACAAATGTCATGATTATCTGGTAAGACTTAGAACAACTCACAGCAAATTCAAGCGAATATCCATGATCACGCTCCCAATCGACAATTAATAGCCTCATGAGAACATGGAAAGCCTCTGGTGATAAGCGGCAATCTCTTTTTAAGGGTACCCGCTCCAAAGACAGCAAAGCAGTAACTCTCTTATTGAGCACAGGTGTACAGTAGATAAGTCCTCTCTTGAAATAAATAAATAAGGAGGTAAAGAAATTAGTCACACTATAAGATTCTTGTGGTAAATAATAATTGTAATAATTTAAAATTTTTGAAGTAATGTCCTTACTCTCAAACGCAGTCTTTGGATTCTGTGCTGGATTCTCCTAATAAGTAAAAGCTCTAAATCCCTATCAGCAGCTTCTCTTATTCTATTAAAAACAACCAATGCAGCAGCAGGGACTGCCATTGTGTTTGCCTGTGAATGTCTTAAAACAAAACTCTTAATAGTAGGAAAGATAGCACCAGACAGACAAGTCTGGACTGGTCAGGAGCTTTGGCTGTACCGCAGAGGGAATGTGAAACGAATGTGAATGTGGTTGTGCGAGTGTCAACGAGCGGCTGGCGCGGCTCGCAACGGCCGCAGAGCAACCCGGCCGACGGTCGACGGACGAGCTTGGCCGAGAATTCGGACACAACCAATATTGAACCATGGAGGTACTCCACGATTGAACTGTGTCAAAAATTGAATGTGCGATCAATGTTTGCGTTCATGAAAACATATCCGTGAGTATACAATTTCGCTTCAGCACTTACTTAGCTTGCGATCTGTACTTCTAGAGATTATTTGGTTTTTGCTTTTATCCCGTCACTGAAATGAAATCGTCGAATCGTTTTCTCCTCTATGAATGTAAACGGGGTGCGATAAATGCTCATATCAGTTAATCTACGATGTTTACGAGATAGACACGAAAACCTTTTCGATTTGAAAAATAAAACATAATCAAGACAAATCGGTTACTATCAGAGGTTATGTTACGCACTGTACCTGTTGTCTGTGTGTGCAGTGTTAGCGTATCTTTTGTGGATTTCTTGTAAACTCAAACAATGACTGTGACACATTGCTAAGCAATTTATAATAATGTTACTTTCTTTGAGGCTTCACTGTTCACTGCTAATGTGCCAGCTTCAAAATATTGCAAAAGATAGCTACAGTAATATTGTTTTGCATTCACACATTTTCTAGATAACATGAAGTAACGTAAATTATTTTGTCTGTTTGCAGGTGAGATAAAATTGAGCGAGACATACAAGATTCAATGATAGGATGAGGATCATACTGTTCTCATGCTGTTATGGGAGGAAATATTGTATCAGTGACTGCAGCAAGAGGAAGTTCTACTTGGTATGTTTCTTGATATTGTTCATACAAATATCATTTATTTATAATATCTACTTCAAGGCTTGTAAAGACACTGTATTTTTCTCTTCCCAATAGACTCTGTGGCCAGTCAACCGAACCAGGAAAGAAACTGTGCTCCAGATTTTTTAGTAACAAGAACACCAGAGATTTGAACGGCGGAATAAAGATTAAAGTGGACGACTTATTTACTGTCAGCATTTAGTAGTTCAGAATGTTATACCACCATAAGTTTTA